AGGTCTACACATCCAGTGATTCTGAGAGAATTCCAACAATTTACTCTATGAAATTTGCTTAATTTTTCGTGATAAGGAAGTTATAATTACATCACCTTAAAATCTGTTGATCAATGAACAAATGATCAAAAGACGGCCGGGGGACGTTACTTCCTACCTTTAACCGTAACGGGACTCGAACCCTCACTCAACAAATTGGAGTCAGCACACCTAAACCACTGAGCCAGAATTCATGTTCGAATTTTGAAATGTAAAGTCCAATACTAATTTGTATATTAGAGTTGATGCAGTATAGTATACACAGCTAGGTAAAATTGAGAAGTCACTACGTCTATACACATTAATATAGACAAACTTTCAACTGTGCTGGTAGCTTGCTATTCGTGTGTTTAGATGGCCCTAGAACTGATTCAAGATGGTTCGACGAACTTTCAGCAGAAAATCTTTCGCGATCAAATACAAGGAAATTAATTAATGGTGCAGCTCTTTTTGGATTCATACGAATCCATTCAAGGTCTGTCAGAAAATAGCAAACATGCCGTGTAATCCTGCCGATCTGGGCCAGGCAATTGGACCTCGAATGTATCAACTGCCAGATCCTGCCGAATGGTCGTTTTTGAAAGCTAACGAGTAAATATATTTTGTTGAAGTGTGATGTACGACATCTTGTCAGTGTATGTTTTGTATTTTTGCATATAAATACTTGTGATTTGCAACGCTGAGCAAGGCCGCAGATTGGCTCAGTTAGAATTTTGACTCTACTATAATTTATAGAATAAGTGACATCTCAACCTACCGCTTAATGACTATATGAATACTATAAAACACTATACAATAATGAATGTCATCTATGGCTTGGGTGTTGCGCTAGTGTTCCTTTCATTATCGAGGCGATGGTCGAAGTATTGGTCAATCCAACCGCGTTTTCCTAATCGTTGCTGGCTCGAGCAGTCGCTTTTAAAGCGGTAGGTTGAGAGTTTGAGCCCCAGCACATACAGTACTTGGTTCTTGATACTACTTCATGATGTAAAATGGCCGATATAGGTGAAATCCTTAGACGAACAAATTTGAAAAGGGTGAGAAATTTCGGCACGAGTATGCTAAGTCCAATTGGGGGAATCCCTTTTGTCTTGTTTCACAGGTGCACTGCACCTTAAAATAATTTGGCATAACGGTTTAAGGTACGATACTTCGTCAGAAGAAACATTAAGTACAGCTTCTACCTTTCGGAAGAATGACCATGCGAAGCTACGCAGGGTCGCGAATGCCTAAATCAATCCCATTCTCGCGTACGATGATATCTTTGTCCACACTGTTTTTTATTTTAATGCAATGATCCATGTTGCGCTTGTACGCCACAACAAGATACACGCCTGGCTTGAGCGTTCAAACTCCCTCAACGTTGTGAAGTGCACATCTCACAATCGTCATAGGACCGCCACCGTCTCCATCGTGGATATTCTTGCAGAGAATCTTGATGTTAACCTTCATACCGCACGTTGGGATCGCATTGGAGCAGTATTTTGCTTGTGAACGCCTTCGTTGAGTGGAACCTTGGAGTTATCCGCATTCTGTGGATACTTTGCCCATATCTTTCGGAGTTGTGCGCTCTCTTGTTGGTGGCCGAGGAGCTTGAGTGCCATCTGGGCCGCATGTGACAAGCACGCATTGCCTTTTCCGTCGGCAACTGCGATAAAGGATTTTGCGTTTCTACTGATGCTTGCTTGGTATGACAGCTCACGCTTTGAATACCGAGGTAGGCACGTCTCAAGCGTTTTGACGCAATATGCGTTGCCGTCTTCGATCGACTGGTCCCGCGGTAGCAAAATCAGGTCCGAGTCGTCGATCCATGTCACGCAATACTCGAACCCAGTCGCCAGGATCCTTCGGTTGTCGATACAATCAATTTCTCCAACCTCAGTGGAGTTCACCGAGCGCCAGGTACATTTGACTGGCTGCATCGCTTGAAGCTGCTGGGCGAATCGCTTCCAAAGTCCGTACCCACACACCGTTGTCACTGTCACCTGATTTTCGGTCGCAGACGAGAATGTTGATGAAGTTGTGGTTGGAGATGACGAGGTCACAATCTCTGGGTCGTCTTCGGCGCTGTCTTCATCACTGTCGACGTTGTCGTTGTTGCCCCCTTCGTTGTTATTCTGGCTGACCGGGAGCAGCTCTGACAAATTCGCTGGGATAACATCATCCGAATCGCTCGTGCTGGTCGTGGACAGCGGCACTGCTTTGTTTTCACCAGACGCTATATTTGACCCCTCACTGTCCTCTTCCGGACCCTTTGTCTGACTCCGCGAAGGGCTCATTCCCCTCGTTTCCCGTAGCCAGAGATGATACAGTCCGCTGGGTGGAGCTCGCCTTCGGTGGGGTAGTGGGTCGGAGGAGCGACCGGCGATAGTTGGGGTGCATCTTTAGTTGCTTGAGTAAGAGCTGGAAAAATGAAAGTAAGCGCGTCGGGTGGGTGGCCGGAAGACCACCTGAATAGCCTGCAGAATTGACAACCTTTGATCGGTTGAACGTGGCCGTAGAATATTCTGTTGTGTGTTGATGCCTGCAAAGCACTTAACAAACTCACAGAAGGCTGAATGAGTCTTCTGCTTTTGTGTCACCCTAATAGTCGTTCAACTGCGTCCTCCACATGTAGACGTCGCTAAAGGTACCGAATTTATGCGAAAAGTTGTGATCACCTGGATCGCTGCGAGCGCCGGTGTGGTTTGTCGTCCATTGAAGCGACACCGTAACTCCTTTTTTGTGGCGCGGGGTGAAACTACGTCAGCTTTTGCTCGAATCGTGTTTAAATCTCACTAAATCACTTCTGCGGTCGGACCACAAGAAATGGAGTGTTTCTGCGCAAAATTTGTACCACACGTTAAAATCACGTTTTCCCAACGACGCGTACGCGCTTCTACGTGAACAGAGCAATGTCGAGCCACGTCAGACCCAAAGAAGAATGGTGATACCAGCTCGGGCTCCTGCTACCAAAGCTGCGATGGGAGCGCGCAGTCAAAGAACAAGTGGTGCTCGGTCTTGGTGGCGTCGCACCCGTCGCGGACATAGTATCGAATCGGGCGAGACTCGAGGAGCCAAACCTCGAGCGCGCTAAAAGAAGACGGAAGGCGAGCCGAAACTGCAAGTCTTCGAAGATTGGAAGCAGGAACTTGCGCAAATGCTTGCTGAAGCTGACAAACGACTTGATTTGCGCTTCGTCGACTCGCTGCGAGTGGCCGTCATTGGACGTGAATTCATAGGTGGTATGGATGACGACACAACACGAAAATGCCCATATTGCGGGATCTGCGGTAGAAAAGACGTTTTCACTCCACTCGTGCAGCCTAAGTGGGGAGCAGACGCATCCTGTTGACGGCGATAGCACAAGTTGCAAAGCCTCAGGTCGATTCACGATCTTTGAAGTTCTAGTATACAGCCTACGCAGCCGCTTCGTTTGTATACCAGGCGTCACATGCAATCGATGTGTCGTTCCACGAGGTTTTGCTGTATCATCCACGCACCGACCTCGTTCACGAAGTCTGCAAGCGACATCAGTCCGAAGACTATGGACACATGCAGCATGAAGCTTTGTTGTGGCTCATACACCATGCAGATGCATCGACGGTGTGCTGCACTGGTGTGCGTCCGTGTGTTCTGCTCGGAGTTCAGTTCAGCATCCAGATGGAACAAGATCGGCTGTTTTGGACTATACGCTGCAGGCTGTACGCTCGCAGAGTGGAAGGTCGCGCCACGTCATCTTCCAGCGTGTCTTGTACCACCCGACCCAAGTTGCTCGCCACTAGGCTTCACTTGAGCAGGCAGACTTGTCGAAATAGAGAGGTCGCGTGGAAGCCGAGTGTGTTGCATCGCCCAGTGCGAGGAAGAACCAGTTTGAGTAGTCCGGTGCTCGTTGTCGTCCAATCCCGCAGTGTTCCTCACTGTACGAATGAACTGCAGTAGCAGTGCAAGAGGCTGCCGCGTCAGGTGCGCTGAATACGCCATCACTTGCCCGTTGGTGCCCGAACTCATTCAAATTAAGCTGCGCGTGCAACGCATCGCAGTCGTGCTTGCGACTCAGCACGAATCGGTTTTGCATTGACTGCAGCCGCTTTACTGGTGCCGGTATTGATACATGTAGCGTGTAGTGCCACAGACGAGATATTACCATCGTCCGTGCCACCAGAAGTCGATTACGGAACGTGCATGCGCGCCAAAACCATGCCTTAAAGCCGTTGTAGAAGCGTTCGTCAAGAAACTTGATGATCGTGTCATCGACCGAAGCCAGTCCGAACAAAATGCCGAGATACTCAACTGTCGCGGTACGATGAAGCACTCGAACACCAATAAGCATATGTAATCTTAGTCTCGATTAAGCGCCAAGAGTGTTGACATGGACAAGTTGAGCTTCGCACCGGATTCTCTGCAGTAGTCTTCCACGAACTCAAGTTGAGCCAGCAGGTTCGCAACTGAGCTCGCAAGCAGAGTCGAGTTATCTGCAAAGAGCATACTCGTGGCTGTGTGGTCTGCATTCAGACGCACACAGTCCCTAAACTGTCGCTCGAAGTAAGTCAATAAAAGGCTTACACCATTGGTCTATGCTAAAACACTGTACAATACTCCTTAATGATCAATAATATCAAAAAATCATCTTTTTTTGTAAACCGTCCGGTGGGGTATTGGTCCCTCGCGGTTCCAGAATACCGTACTTCAAAAAAAAAACACCTGACCTACTTTTGAAAGGTGATTTTGTTAATATTAAAGGTGGTCAA